CAGATACAGACAAACAGAGAGAGACATACAGACATATAGACATTCAGACTAAATTATAACTGACGCTTGATTATCACCAATCCATGTGAACACCTTTCTAGGTCACATGGATTTGATAATCAAGCGTCATTTATAGTTTACTCTCTCTCTCTCTCTCTCTCTCTCTCTCTCTCTCTCTCTCTCTCTCTCTCTCTCTCTCTCTCTCTGTATCTTTGAATGCGATCCATGTGCTGAAGCAGGCATTCACATAGCCTAATACGAAATGGGGCTTGCTCTTTGTGTGAATTGTATAGCTCCAGGGCCAACAATGACTTCTACCGAACATTTCCTTTTTTGAATAAGCTTTGCCCAGATAAAATAATTTAAAAAAACCCACACATTCAAATTTTTACAGCACTGACTAACATTATATTAAAATCAAGCTACGACAGTCATGAGCGCTCGCAGGTTTTTTTGCAATTTGGTTTGCAGGCGGGTCAGAAATATGTGCAGGGGGGTGTCAGGATTTGGGGGGGGGGGGCAGTCAGTCACGGCAGGGAAAGTTAGAAGTTAGTATAAGAAACAGTCTGAAACTAATGCTAATATTTATTAAGCGTTTTGAGCAGAATCTTGACACACACACACTTATATATATATATATATATATATATATATATATATATATATATATATATATATATATATATATATATATATATATATATACAGTAAATGGACAATACGACTATAAATTGATTTGCTAAAATGAAGGGACGCCACTACACTGAAAATATAGCATAAACATAAAGCCTTTTCTTGTTTTAAAGTTAAAAAATTGCGTTTACGAGTCTTGCTCTAGCAGTAGCTGCATTGCGTCTATTTCAGAACTACGGCACTGCCATCGGACTGGTAATGTTATTTTCCACAGGCAAGAGTCCGAGGGTACTTCGGGGTAATACTGAAAATGCTATGGTAAATCTGTCCATTTGAAATGTGTGGCTGATTTCAGATTTATATTTAATTTTGCCTTTATTGTGAATGAATCTAAAACAGCTACTTTACGTGCTAAATAAAACAAAAATTATTTTTGAAATCTAATTTTTGCTGTCTATAAATCATCTATCTGTCTTTGTGCAAATAATACTGACAGAACTTGTAAATGTGCACATGGACTGTCCTTGCAAGCTTTACGCAAACTTCAAGCTGTGTTATAAAGTTAAACTATACATTTTACCTATATCAAAAACGCAATTTATTCTTTTCTCATACTGAACTATTTTATCCTCTTGCTGCTGAATGGGTAGCTGCTGCGTATTTATATGTTTGTCCTAATTTTTTAAATGCAATCTTTCAATCTGCACCCTTAAAAATACATTACACGATTCAGTATAATCCAATGTTGTGCGTGGAAGATGATGGTAACTGATCTCCAACTGTGTCATCTTTGCCGACTTGCTAGAGTAGTATACAATAACAGATAGATGAAATTATAATTTTATAGCTGAATTATTTTGTTTCCCATTTTAATAAACGTTCATACTAGTTTAAATTTACAAGGGTCCTAGCACTAGCAACATGGGAGACCGCTAAAGTAACTCTTTCGGTCACATGGGTACGTAATAAATGTAAACAAAGGCAAAATTACGGCATAAATTGAATTTTTTATATTAAAAAAAATCTCCATTTTTGACAAAGTGGAAATTTCTGCCAAGGAATTAGATTATTCAAAAATGTAGTCATTCATTATACTAAATGTTTTTACAAAATTCTGGTACAACTTCTAGTGTGTAATGTAATTTCTGTTTTAGACTCGGCCTTACATTCTGTCTTCAAAATAACAGTCTCTCTCTCTCTCTCTCTCTCTCTCTCTCTCTCTCTCTCTCTCTCTCTCTCTCTCTCTCTCTCTCTCTCTCTCTCTCTCTCTCTCTCTCTCATGTTTTGCAGTTGATTACTACTATCCGAACCGTATAATAAAAAGATAAAACTTTTTAAATACCTCACGTCCAAAATGTAATGTCACAACATACATAATTTACACCACAGACATGCTAGCTGTAGACTTTAGCGCCATTTTCAGCACAAAATAGGCTACACACGGCGGCCAGTGTTAATGGTGAAGGAAGAACGTTGGAAAACCCCGGGAAGAACTACCGAACCACGAGAAGCTACTGGCAGGCTTTCTCACTTACCCACGTTAGCCGAGTCTGGACTCGAACTCACGCAGACAGAGGTGAGATGGCAGTGATCCATAACGGTCAGCGCTTTAGACCACTCGGCCACTAGAGCCCCCCCCTTCCGAAATGCAGATTTATTGTAACAACAAATTAGTGGAAAACACCTATAGAATGTGAAAAATGGAATGAGGAATTCGACAAGAATTTTGTCCATGTAGCTCACATCCTTTGTAGAATTGTGGAAGTGTTCAAAGTAAGCTTTCTTCTGCCTAATGTGTATCATTAATTTTTGAAAACTGGCCAAAAACAATCTTGTATGCTCAAGTGAAAATAGATATTTACTAGCTTATGATTTCAGATATATATCGTTTATTAGGTCGAATGGAAATATTAGTCCCAGTTTAACGGCTACACATGTGACAAGCCAAATGTATTGGGATAACATTGTAGTTAGAGTAATGACAATACATCTTGAAGCATGGGTTTGTATTTTTTTCTTCAGAAAAGTCAGGTTTATGTGAGGGCTTTTTCTTGAATAAAATTATTTTCTCTAGTACATTTTGATTACATTCCATCTTTTATTGGATCTTCCCGACTGACTGATTTTTGCATTTCAAGCAAGAATGCATGTACTTTATGCGTTTAGATTTACTGTAAAATTGGGTTAAGATTTGGTTATCTAGTGTGCATATGACTACTGATAAAAAAAGTCACTTGACATCACAGTACTATGAAAATGCACCAAGTGAACTTTGCTACTATCTCAAGTTAGGTCGTGTACACAAAATAAAAAGTCATGTGGCTGACACCTCACACACACACACACACACACACACACACACACACACACACACACACACACACACACAAAATACGTCAATGTGCACTTAGAATAAATTAATTTCCCATGCATATTAAAAATAGAATTATATCGTGTTCGCTAACCCTAGCCTCAATTTAAACTAACAATTTCCCATGCATATTAAACTTAATTATATCGTGTTCGCTAACCCTGGCCTCGATTGAAACTGTCAAGCCACAATACAATGTCACAATTAGGAACTGATTGGTCAGCATGCACGTTGATCTGATCATTTCTTTAACTCAATGGTCTCACACTTTGCCTGCATAGCAGCGCCTGGTAGAGATTTACACAAGTTGACGAGAATGACTGGGCTTGAACATTAATGTTCAGGTTAGTGTAACATACATGTAATCATTCATTAAACAGGTTTTGTTGTATTATGTTGTAACGTGTTTAATTTCTTATGCCATGTGATCAAAACTATTTCTTTGAGCAGCCCGCAACGGACTTCTGCACGCGTAAAGACAATTACAAATATTGTTTTAAAATTATCACTGCCTACCATTTAACGGATATATATTTTTTGATGCCGGAAGTATTATTATTGCACAGGTATCATGTGACCGTCAAGTTTTAACGGATTAGTGCTTTTCAGTATGTTCGAAGTATAAAACGCAGTATGAAATGTTAGAAATGCTAACTCAATGCAATTAACAGAGAGAAGTAATTAATTTTCACAGGGTGATTCATCTATTCAGCTTGCCTTCTTCTAATAATAGAACTTATAATCCTTTACGGCTTTCCAAGTTACTACACTATTTCATAAATATGTCATGCTAAATACACTGTGCTAGTTTCAAGCCATTTACGCAGTTAATAATTTTAGCTCCATCCGACTTAATATAAAGGTTACCCGTTTTTACCAGGCGTATGTATATCGATGTCAGTTACATTTTATATTAACATATCTATGAGGACATACTGAATTCACATGTACATTATAATTCTCATTTCCATTTTGGGGTCAATATTTCATAAAACTCTATTCATATTAACAAAGAAGCACACATTTTGCTAGTCTCGTGCAAAAAAAAAAAAAAGAAAAAAGAAAACGTTTTGGGGGTTTATAGATTGCTGTCACATAACGAACAACTGCCTCACTCTTTCGAGCCAAATATTATGTTTGTTTAGTTGGTAATGCTATCATATTTTGAAGTCAAACTTATTCTTAACTCATTTAGATCCAGATTGGTCGCTAGTATATATACTTCGAAAATATCGAAATTAGGTGTTTTGTAGACGCACATGTACAATACATCTACACTGATATATTTAAGTACCATAATTAATACCACTATTCAAATTTGGAAACAAATTATGACCAACTAAACTAACCAAATCCTGGTATATATTTTTGCTTTCTAACCGTACATTCACTCTGAATGCATAATTTCGCATTCGAACCCTGTGAAAATCATACTAATCTAAATATCCGTATAGCTGGTATATATTAAATTAAGTTTATTATTTTTATTTGTTTTTTTATATCTTCCTATGCAAAATACGAAACTGTGGTTCTCAAAGTGGGAGATACCGCCCCTAGGGGGCGACGAGATTATCGAGGGTGGAGATAATGTTGAATAAATCTATTTAGGGGGCGCTGAGGATAAGCAAGGGGTCGGTGGCCCTAAAAAGTTTGGGAACCACTCCTGTAATGAAACTTTTATTCTAAATTTCGTTGATAACTATTTAATTATCGACATCTAGAGAATTTCATCGTTTGAAGCGATGAATCCTGCGATGCACCTGATTTACCAAGCACGAATCTTCAAAGTATCATATCATTGTTGAGTTTAACCACATATTGTCATGTAATTTAAACATTCAGCTCAACTTAAGGAAAAGAAATTCAAGTATTTTCACTCGATATTTTTATTGTAATGCTTGCTGTTTCAATATATATGACTGAAACATAAGGTTATCCACTTCAACCTTTTCTAATCAAATAGTTACCTACCTAACTTGTTAGATAACCACCGGTATGATGGCCTAATGGTTAGAGAGTCCGCCTCGAATGCGGGAGGTCGTGTGTTCGATCCCCGGCCATAAAAAAGACATAAAAATTGTACTTACAGCTGCCTTGCTATATGCTCAGTATTAAGAGGTTAGTGTTAGGACTGGTCGGCCTGGTGTCAGGATAATGTGGTTGGGTGGGACATCATGCTACATGTCTGCGGCATGATGCCCCAGAGCTAGGCATCACTATAAACCGCCACACTGCAGACATCGTGGCTATATGATTGAAAAAATTGTAGCGATATGACTGAAAAAATTGTTAAAACTACGTAAAAAAAATCAAAATCAAAATTCAGTTACATAACCAAGTACGCTAGTTCAGCACACATTTTATTAAAAATATCCCTCAGCCAGTTGTGGAAGTATACGGCCGAATTGTAGCTTTAGGGTAACTCAGTGTAAATTTTAAAAGACACTGTCTTTGACGGACACGGTTCCCTAACTGGAACTAAATCAAATGCTCTATGATGCTTGGTATGAATTTTATCTATTAGACGCCCTATTTTCATGTAGGTCCGGAAAATGCATTTCTAACAGTGGACTGACACGTTAACAGAAGACAATATTTTCAGATTTTGCTTTTGTCTGTCTATCAATAAATTATGACTCTTAAGGTTGATCGCGTTTGCAGAAACCGAATTTCTGCCATTGGACTGGAACATTAAGAGAAGACAAAAAGTTTGTTCTTCTATCAGATTCACGTAGCATAACTCTTAACTTTGTGTTTGAGCCAGAGGTATTTTGTTTAGAGCACGTTTTGCATTACTGAATAGGGCTTAAATTGTACTACATTTTTCAACCCATTGCCTTTATTGTTTAAGGTTCCAATAAAAAGGCAAAACTCTGTACCTGTCAAAATATCTAGTACACTTTTCCTGTTATTCATAATGATGAGCTTGAAGAAGTCAAATTATTTTGTTGGAAAATAAAAAAAAAATTATCTTTTAAAATAAAACTTGGAAAGTTCTCGCCACTCATTTCCATTTATATTACCATGAATTCCAATACTGGATCAATTATTAAAGCAACAACAAAAGAAATGCAAATGTTTTAACTTCTTGTTACTTGAGTGTATGTACTTCTTCAGTTGTCCCAAAGAATGTTACTGGTAACTATTGTAACTGAATAACAATGAATCTTGTTTGCAATATGACCTCCGGTGTTTGAGTTTTCACCGGTCAATGTCAGCATCTGAACTGATAAAACAAAGAGGATGGGTAAATATTTACAGGTAAAGTCACGTGACGTTTCTTCAGCACAGCTTAAATATCGCAAATTACATAGATTATCCCTTTAAAGAGATGACTGTGGTTCGAGTCAGTGTTGAATATTCAGGAGACCATGAGCCATACTGCTGCTGGTTTTGTATTTTATATATATATATATATATATATATATATATATATATATATATATATATATATATATATATATATGTATATATATATATATATATATATATATATATATATATATATATATATATATATACAGAGAGAGAGAGAGAGAGAGAGAGAGAGAGAGAGAGAGAGAGAGAGAGAGAGAGAGAGAGAGAGAGAGAACAGAACAAATTTTCAGAAAGCCGTTGCAACAAAGATAGGGTAAACTCTGAAGATGATGTTAATTTAATTTCAAAATATATTACAAGGTGTGACTTGTTTATGGCAATAAAAACACGATACTATAGTGGATGTAAACTGGGCTACCCGTTCACACATTTCTCGTAACACATCAGTTTTCTTCACCACCACCAAGATATGAAGGATCTTTATACCAGCGGTATCTCCCTCCACCCATAAACGATTACAATTGACCAAATTAGACCAGCGATACGGTGTCCCCAACCCATAACTGATTAAGACAGACCAAAGTCGATCTGCTATATTAGTCTGCTATAGGCTGATCCAAGAGAGTTAATGGATTCCATCTCCCAACTGCTGGCGAAGCGCAAAGTCAGCGGCAACCTCTGAGCCCAAAGCATTGTTGAACATATTAGTCGTACGTTGGCCGAATGGCTCTTTGCCAAAGAAAATGCACAAGAAATGTTGCTAGCTTTTTTGTGCAAACTCGTCTGAAGTCGTTTCAGCTCTCAATGAGTTCATGCTGTTGACAATCAAGACTTCCTTAGATTCCATCAAAGAGCTCGCAATCGCACGTAAGCTGTCATTGTCAGTATGACAGAAAGAGCCTCGGTTTTTGTCCAGCACGATTTCTCGTTATATGTACGCTCCTGGTGAGCTGGAAGGAGTACACCGATCCTGTGTGATCGCTTAGTGTTCGGCCTGGCTGACAAGTTCTATACACCATCTTTCTTGTAGTAATTCTCTACGTACAGGTTTATTCTGCGAGGTACTACAGAATATACATTGAGGCTCTCAGCTTCCACATAAAGAGATTCTTATCCGGTATAGAGCTCGTTGGGGTCTCTTCCACCAAGACATATTGCACTTGTATGGTGAGATAGTGACTATGATAACTTCGTGATACCATCCAAAGCAATAGATGGCGGATGGTGGTCATGTAGTTGCAGAACTCTATCATTTCTAGGGTGTTCTATTAGTTAGATGGTGACAATGTCCTCATTTACGAATGACCTCATAATGTGGTCGGTTTTACGTATCTCTGTGCCGTGTTCTTTCAGTATGGAGTACATCCCGGGTGGAGACCAATGAACTCGCCCAAAGGCTTTCCCGGACACTGGTTCTTGAATTAGCCTCACTGTGATGCAGGGTGGATGCTGTTTTGTAGTTAAGGTCGTTACTAAGCGTGAGCAAAATCAGCTGTGTCGCGGTTGACATGTGCGGTCAGTGTTCACGTAAAGCAAGAATGTAATATCTCCTTAGCGCGCGTTAACCTGATTGTAGAAGAAAGTATATATCTGCACAAGCCTTGAGAACAGAAAGAGGACTTAACCTACATTAAATCCAAACATATTTAGAAAGAATCCAAGAAAAACATAAACAAGCAGGCATATGCTCTGAATAGGGATGTCGTGGACAGTTTATAGCTTTACCTTCTCAAATGATGTATTTACAGCGAGAGATTTTAATAATTAAATATAACAGCAAAGTTAAAGATAAAACGTAATAATTGCTTTAAAAAAATTTAGTTACCATTTACAATGTTTCGTAATATACATACAATATTACATTAGAAACATACACACAGAAACACCACACTTGAAAAAGCTGAATGGTAACATCAAAACAGTAACAAATGTTACATTCACCGAAGCAATCAAGAAATTCAAGGTAGTGGTTGAACAGTCTACACTAGACGCAAACAAATTATGTAGATTAAGAAGTTAGTAACATCTATATGTATTGGAATAATTAATTAATGAAAAGACAAAACGATGGAACGCATGGAAAGAGATTTAACTGAGTTTAATGGAAACATCTAGAATCCATGCAGATGTATTTAAAACTGATATAAGATAAATTAAACATTCTCGTTACATGGGTCAATGCAGTCAAGATTGAATTAGATTAAAGCATATATGATTAAAAACTGAATTAAAAACGAAATTGGGCGTGAATAAAGTTGCCTTTTCTAACATTGAAAGAGTAAAGATTAATCCAAAAAGGAATTATGAAACAAAACAAAACTAATATATGGATGTATGTTGCTATACATACATTGTTACGATCCTGTTTACGAACCCGTGAAGAGTTCTTTCAGTCATACCATTTTCTCGGTTCGCCTGATACTAGCTTGAGGTGAAATTAATATAGATTATTACTTGTGTTGATATCAATTATTCCTGTATAATGAAAGACTAGATTGACAGTGGAGAATAAGAGAAGAATAAAGAAATGTGTGTTATCGTGTTATCTATGATGTAAAAAAAAAATACCGAATAAATTACGTTTTTTTATTGTGTTCTCTTCTTTCATTTTTATAATAGTCATAGATCAGAATTATCTTGACATAGAGAATAACAAGTTCACTTCATGGTCATATATTTATTATACAAGCAAATAAGATTGTTTGCTTATTATACGATTGTTCATGTATACTTCAGGAAACAACAATTTTATTATAAATGTAGTATACAGTAATTTTAATAAAATTAAGATTATATTTTTACAACTTGTGCAAGGAGACGGCAGATGCATCATTTTATTCATGGGGTATAACTCCTTTCGTCCACATTGAATGAAAGAGTTTAGGCAGTGTCTAGGTCATGTTTTATTCGTTCTTCTAAATAATTTCCACTGAAATAAAAACTGTGATAAAAAGAATCTCAAATGGGTAACGATTTAATATTAAATTTATGTAACTCGTTGAATAATGTCCAGCTTTTGCTCGCCAAGGCTCGCAAAAGCTGGACATTATTCAACTTGTTTCATAAATTCAATATTAAATGGTTACCCATTTGAGATCCTCTATGTAGATGAAGTTATATGATTAGAAACTTTTATATTGTATAACTCTATCATATTTCAGAATACCCTTGAAGATTGCTAATTTTGAAAACAAAATACACTTTGCATTGATGTACTGCTTGGATGGAAAGTGCCCAGATGATACTGAAATATTATGCCGGATTAAATCGTATCATAAACTGTTGTCAAACGTTATCACAGTGCATGTATTGTGTTACATACCGTAAATGAATTTACGTCGTGATACGATTCAATTAGTGGTTTCAATGGCGACACACTTCGAGATACGGCCACATAGGAATATTGACTCTAGATGGACAAAGTATGAACGAAACTCCGAGCACTTTTCCTTACCTAACTCTATTGGACGCAAGAGCAAAATTAAAATAGAATTAAATTAAGATAATATAATCGCCAGAAACTGCATTGGAAATAACAAAAGCAAATCAGAAAGAATAAAGCTGCCTTGTAAGTCATTGATACTGGCTTCAGCCATCTAAAAATGAGGTTATTCTATAAAATAAAATAAAGTGGTGAATTATCGTTTATTCCTCTTTTCGTTATAAGCAAATGTAACAGAAATACACGCACTCACACGCGCAAGTGCGCGCGTGCATACATTATTCAGAAACAAAACAATACACGATG